TTTTAAATACGCTTGCTTCCCTCCCGCATCGGGTCCTTCCAGTCTGTGTCTCTCCTCCAGTTAGTTGCCCCAACACTAACTTTGATTACAATTATATCATTACCTTCACACTGTGCATTTGATAGCCTCAATTTCTCACTTTTGCAGACATGCAACTACTTGAAATCACTTCTTAAACAAAAAAAAATTGCCAAATTGCGTAACTGCATGGAAAAAACTTGAAAGCATGAACTCCGTCCATCTTCAATTTGAAAAAAAGACAGACTGCAGCAAGTGATTAACTTTAAAGCCTTCCTGTTTTTAAAGCAAACTCTCACTTGCTGAAATTACTGATATCTCTGCTTCATCCTTGCTCTAAGTTACTGTTCTGCCCCTTTGTTTCATTTACACATTTTAATCTACCAGTTAGTTACTTTATCATCGTTCCCAGCGGACTGATGGCTGCGCCGAGCAGCACAGACCCCAGACCCGCTCCCTGTGGAAAGGCTGCTGCTTGGTGAGGATCGGCCTTCCGCAGCCCCATGCCGAGAGCTCAGCCGCCTGGTTCCTGGGGGCTTCACACAGAGCCAGAGCAGGGCACCACTGTCAGACACCATTCAGTCAAAGGTTTTGCACACCCGAACCTCTGTCCAACTCTGGCAGTCCCGACCACCGCCGACGCCTCCAACCCCACCTAGCAATGAAATCAGGCTTCTTCAACAGAGCCCGTTCACAGCAAAACCACAGCAGCGAGTTTGTCATCGATTGGGCAGCTGCACTGGGAGCAGCCTCCTGCTCAAGCCAGGCCACTTTTCCTAGTGGAAATGTCCATCCCACCCTTTAGTTTTGGAAAACCAGGCTGCGGACTGGCCGAGGCGCTCCCCTCCTGCCCGCGCCCAGTCCGTGCTGCCAGGCACTGCGCGGTGCTGGTTACCTGCAGGGTGGCCGGGACGGGTGCTGGGGTGCGGTGCGGGACCCTGAAGGGCGTCTCCGGTCTTCACCCCACAGCCTGCCCGGACCCTCTATTTATCTGCGGCCGGTGGTGGCTCCATGATGAAACACTGGTGGGGGGAGAAGGGGGGAGGCGGGGAAGCCTCGGTAACACAAAAGGTGGCTGGGCAGGGCCAGCAAGATGCTTATCTTGCTGGTGGTGTTGGTTTAGTCTGTCTGACCACAGACTAATCTGGCGGCTCCCAGCCGTCTGCAGGTCTGTCATCTCACCCCACGCCCGTCTTCACAGACTTCAGCCAGGGTTTCGGAAGCCTCAGTGTCCTCCTGAGCTTCACAGGCTGCCAGGGCAATTTCTCGCAGTGTCTAGAGGAAAAACAAAATTATTTAAAAGCTCTAGCAAGGCAGCACAGGTGGAGGGCAGCCAGCTGTGGGGCTATGATGCTCCCCCTCAGGAGTTGGAGGTGGGCACGGACCTTCTTGGGGCACGCGTTTCATTCCTGTCTCCACGCAGCTCCCAGGGCAGGGCAGCCCTCCCACACCACACGCTTGACACACGCTGTTCAAAACATTTCAGGCCCTGCGTGGCTGTTTTCCTCCAGTTTAAGCTGCAGGGAGCCAAGGCAGAGGAGATTGGCATGAGTTTCATGTGCAAGCATAACCCATGTGCCCTGACCAGCTGTTTTCTCCCTGGTGTGAAAACGTCTTAGCCTGATGTGCTAATGAGCTTGTTGGAAATGTGTCTCCCAACATTGCAGAGCAATGGGATGAAGAGCGGGAATATCTTGCAGCAGATGGGATGATGGAGAAGAGTGAGGGTTTGGGGAGCACACACGCTCCCGCGCACACACACGTGCACCCCTTGGAGCAGGAGGTGTTGGGCGTGGGCTGTTGCTGCAGGACCAGGGCCTGCCTCCTTCACCGGAGCTGGGCACCACGCTCCAGGCAGTGGGACAGGGTGCTGCCCGGCCCTCTCCCTCCTCCCACTACCCTCTGATGGCTCCTTAAGCCTGAAAATCCCCATTCCTCTAGTAGGTATGTGGGATCCCCACATCCCACAGAGCCTGAGAGTGCTGAGCTGTGGTGAGCCATGAAAATACTGATCAGGCTTCCATGTCCAGGGAAGTGAAACAAACTCAAAAGACTAGTCATCTCGAAGGGGTTCTCACTGTCAGAGGGCAACCCCAGGGACACAGGGAGAAGGGACGGTGGGTGGTGGGTGCAACGCCTGGCTCTCCTGCCACTGATGCTGTGTACGGGCCCATCTTTACAGGTCCTGCTGGGATTTCTGCTGGCAAGGCACATGAAACTTCCTCCCCTGCTTGCTGAGGCCTTTCCCACCCCAGGGACACGGTGGGTAGGATAGCAGCAGCCGGTCCCTCTCATCACCCCATATGCCCAAGCCAGCACCCCGGGGTGCCATCAGGGCAGCGCTCTGCCCTGGTGCATGCTGTGGGGTGTGTTTGCACCCTCAAGGTCAGTCTGCGGCAAACTACAGCAGACGCAACGCTGACAACCCCAGCCAGGGCAATGTCACCGTCCGATGTGCCTGCTGGGAGCAGCCCCCAGGGACCTTGGGAGCACCTCGGTGAGGCTGGTTCCAGCCCAGGTGGAGCAATCCCGAAACGTCCGGATCTTGGGCCCCACTTTACCAGTTCCCACACCCATAGTTAGCATACAGAAGCCATTGTGAAGGTTACTCTTCAGCAGTCACTTCACCTCCACTGCAGCGCAGCTGTGCGTCCCATAGCTGGCCTGCAGCTGGCAGCCACCATCCCGCAGCGCTGCTGCTGCCGCCGCGCTGGGATTCGGGCGAAGCAGTGAGGGCCGTGCGGACTGCATAGAGCTTCAGGGCGGCAGAAGCCTGAGCAGTCATTACATGCTGTTAGCTCGTCATCTGGGTTTTCAGCTGGTTGTTTTCTCAGAGCTGCCACATGCTGCACGCCCAGGCAAGCGCACAGCCCCGTGCGCTGCATGCTCAGCGCGCCGGGCAGCAGCCTGCTCTGCGAGCAAACATCCAGTTCAAAAGCATCAAATATTGTCTTTGTTTCTGTTCAAACTCGCCATAATGGAACATCTTTTGCACAAACATATGCAGTATCTGAGGGGACAGCCCAGTAGCATGGCTTGTCCCCCACAGCCTTGATTCTGCTAGACCAGAAGGAGAGCTGTCTTAAGCTCTTGTTTGCACACACATGCACATGCAGCAGCATCCTGGAGCTGCTGCAAAGCTCTTGGGTGCGACCCAGGCACCCTAAAGCTTCCCTAGCGCCCTGGGAGAGACCTGCCCAGCATGCAGGGACTTATTTCCATGTGCACTTAAAGGGGCTTGTTCTGGGACAGGGTGGCACAAGCAGGTCACCGCCTCGAAGGTGCCCATGACTCTGGAACAGCCCAAGGAGTTGTCTCACACTTGACCTCTAAAAAGTCATGAGCTGCTTTGAGGACAAGAGCCATCTCATTGAGGTACTCACATAGGAGCTGGGGGATCTGGGATCAATGAAGGGGAGCTCCCTGCAAAGAGAGATGTGCCCCTGACTGTCGGGTGGAGGCAAATCTCCCCTCCTTCTCCTGCAGACAGGTCTGCTGCACAGGAGGACGTCCTGCAATTAGGAGTATCAGGAAGGGTCTAGCATGTCGCAGGCTTCAAAGTGATCCAGATTCAGACTCAGTTCTGGGCTTCAAGGAGTTATGGGGCATGTTAAGACTCATTCATGTGAGTTTGGAATACTTGCTGGAACTAATACCCTTCAGTGTGCAACAGAGTTGCTAAAATACCATACAATACAATGAGGTTGAGCTAATCAGGTTTGATTTTTCTAGACAAAGATGATTATTATTCAAGAAAAAACTAGTAGAAGATCTGATATAGCTTGTGTCACTGAGGAAACAAAAGACAGAAGAGACACTTTTCCTAAATATAAATACTTCAGCATTCTGTTATTTAATAGAAGTCTCGTACAAACTAGATTAGATTGAAAGCATGGACTAGCCACTTAGCAGCAAGCCAAAATCAGCAGACAAAATCAAAACTGCTCCCCTTGGAGCAGTTCCTGAGACATATGGAAAGACTGCAAAGCCTCTCCTTCACCTCCACCCCTCGATAACGAGCTCTCAGGATGCATATTCATGAGATGACTGTTACAGGACACAGGGACGAAGCCATATCCCCTCTCCCTGTTACTGTATCGTGAGAATGAGTCTTGAGTTCTTGAACAAGTTTGGTCCACTGCTGCCTCCCACGAGACCTTGCGCAAGACGGCCACTGCCACCAGCTCCCCCGGGTGTGAGGAAGGTGCTTTCCAAGGGCCAGTTGCCGCTACAGGAGTGATCATTCCCTACCTGCCCAGCACCTTGTCCTCCCTGTCTGTCACAGCCCTCTGCTGTCCATTCCCATCCCTCCTTCCCATCCCTCCTGCCCGTGCCTGCCCAGCTCCCCATCTTTCGCATATCGGAGCACCGCATCCCACACGTTCCCCTCTCCTCATCGCTCCTTCAGCGTCCTGCCTCTTCCACTGCCTCCTTGACCCTCAAACAGAGATGGGAGTGAGGAGGAGAGTCTCCTGGGGGTGCCTGCAGCCCTTCCTGCAAGGGGTGGTGAGGGGCAGGAGGGCGCAGCCGCGTCGTGCCTTGCCCCCAGCCCTGCTTCTGTCGCAGTGGAGATGGGCTCCGGCATTGATGGGACCAGAGCGATTTGAGGCAGCTGCAACACCAACAGTGCATAGGTTCTTACTGCTAGCAAGCACACCAACCCCCCCCCCACCTGCTAAAATCTGGGCAATTACAACCATCCCCTTCTCATGTCTCCCCCCATGTTACCTCTCCAGCCCTGGGAAGCTCCATGTAACCACACATGGCTATTAAACACAATTTCTTTAGTTATCTTCTCTTTAGTGACATTCTGGGTGGCATTTAGCAGACAAATCTTTATTACATTACAACTTTCATGTAGTCATTCTGAGAAACTCTTAGCTGGATTAGACCAGAAATCACCCTCAGCTGGGTGTCTCAGGCTCGGGAGGAGCAGCTGGCCTGGCCAGAGGAGCGGAGGTGGGTGCAGCCAAGCTGCTGTGCTACTTCTTGTCGTTTCTGCTGACAAAGGTGAGGAGGTCCATTGAGGTGACCACACCAAACACCATCTGCTTCATGAAGGAACTGCCGTTTCCATTGACTGTAAGCACAGAAAATGCAGTTTAGTGGGAAAAAAAAAAAAAAATAGAAGAAAAAAAAAGCCCTGCACAGCTGAGCAGAGGCTGCTATTTGTTTATTAAGAGACAACCTTAACAGGGGCAGCAGCTGTCTCTGCTCTGCCTCCACGGAAGTGAGTGATGCAGCCTCGGTCGGGTTACTGGGATCACGTCAGGGAGGTTTTAGCTGCAGATAACACGCTCCTTACCAGAGCAGGAAACTTAATTTCCCAGTTGTTTTTACCCAACCTCTGTTCCAGTCCTGTTTCTATCACCACAAAACTTTTCAGGCCGAACTAATGGGACTCTTTAAGAGCAGCAGTGAGTCACTTTCTGCTCTGTTCTCATAAGGTCTTACACTACCATTAATAAAACAGCATCGCAACAATTACTTTAACTATCTGAGAAATGTTTTCTTAAATAAAAATAAAACTAGCCACCAGAGTCCAAACACAAGATAAAATGCAAGCTCCAAAGGTGTGGGAAGAAATAATAAATAAGAGGTAACTGTGATGGCATTAAAACAGCAGCTCTGGAAAAGAAAACGAGTGTTGTTTGAAAACCAGAGCAAGAGGCACTACATACAGCTGGCTGATCGTTTTGGTGGACACCATTTAATTTGTGGATGTCATTTAATTTGTATTGAAATGTGATACAAAATAGATTTTTGTTATTTTATGACAGCATAGCTGAGAAAGGAAATTCTGCCTAGCGTTGTTTTTGGTGAGAGAATTGGAAACGTGCCTCAAAGGCAGTTTTGAATGTCAGACTTTTGTTTGCAACGTTTTGTGGGAACGTGTCTGGACTTGCAAGCCAGCTTTAGAGCCGATGGGTCTTTGGGGTGGCAGGCCATGGAGATACAAGCAGAGAGGCTGAGATGTTTGCGCACAGTGGGTTTCAGAGGCCCCAAGGTCAGCAGGCAGCCCTTTGCTGGCAGTTGTGCATGCTGCTTGCCATAGGAATGTTTTGCATGTTCAATGTGTAATCCCATAAAGTCAATATAATTATACCCTTCAGGTCTAATTTAGAAGACCTAAATATGGGTCTTCTGACTGCTTTTTCATGTTGCTAGCATTTTAAACAAGGCAACTCCCTTGAGATAAGGCCAAATTTGTGCTTCTAGCAGTTTTATGGTATAATTGTACTGGAAAGGTGTGTTAGATCAGACTTGCAGAACAGCACCTGCCAGCATACCTGTTTTGGTCAGGGGAGCAACAAAATGTGATCCCCGCTGCCATCAACATGTCAGCAATCTTCGTACTGATGTGGTCCTACTGCACGTGACTCTACTGAACCGGTTTGCTTCACCGGAAAGAGAGTGGCTGCACAGTGATTTGAGAATAAACCGAAGCTGCTGGAACAGCTGCTTTAACCGACTAGTCTAATGGTGCTCCCGAATTGGCAGAACATCTCTGCACCCAGCCATGGTCCAGGTAAGGCTCATACATGGATGCCACAGGCTGCAGGCATTGATATGTGTTGTGCCTTCTGACTCCTGACTCATGGGCTCCTGCCACAGGGCTTGCTCACAGTTCAACACATTTTTTTTCAGCTTTCTCAGCTTACCCTGGACCTCTGGGGTAGGTGTCTGATAGCATCCAGCATGAAAGGCTCCCTTAGCATGTCAATTTACCCAGACCCCTTGGGGCACACAAACATAAGGACATCCCTTGGCTGCACCCCCAGGGGTGGCAAGTGGGAACAGAGGTATTCAAAGAAGATGGCACAGTAGAAGATCTTTAAGTGGTGGGATGCAGACCATGTAGTTTGTTCCCTTGCACTTACATGCCTGAATTCCACCTAAGCTTTATCTAATGTGCCCAAATGCTCCTTTTGACCTTGCCCTTGGGACACTAAGTCTACAGAGATCTCTAACATCCCCCTTATTTCCTCTGTTGCCCACAACCAGCAAGGCAGTGATTTGAATTCAAGATCAAGAGACTGAATGAGTACTAGAGGCCTGTGCCTACAGCTGTGCAGCAAAGGCACTGCGCCCCAAGCTGCTGCCTACAGTCCACCTCGTCTGCCATAGGAAGGGCCAAATGAGATCACATAACGAAATACTTTCCCAATCCCAAAAGTGGGTTTCCACGGGAAACTGTAAAATGAAGGGAGGGGATGGAGCTGATGGGTGCTTCGGTGTCACCCCCACGTGGAGGGACAACGCAGCTCTCCTGGCCAGGATGTGGGAAGTGCTCCTGCAGGACGCACACCCAGTGGTGTGCTGGTCCCAGGCTTCTGTGGTTGAGGCTTCTCCCCTCTCCCCTCATCCCTGTGGTGTCAGGAAAGGAAACGGGTGAAGAGCTGGCAGTTCCAGAGGTTTGCAGAGCCACGGGGTAGAATTCCTTCCTGCAACGGCTCAGGGGCTGCACGTGTGGAGCAGCTGCACTGATACGTACTAAGCTCAGTTTGAGAATTTCCCTCTCCCCTCTCAAACATTTGTTCAAAACCCCTACAGTGCTTCTGCAGATACCTACACTGCATTTGCTCGTGTACAACAATAGCAAAATGGTTGTTCTCCAAGATGCAGGAAAGCTTCCCGAGGCTGTCCTCCAGGCCAATCTAAACAGCACAAAAAGAGACATTTTACATTTCATGTCACATTTAAAGGACAGTGGTGTGGAGCCTGACTTCTACCTCTGACTGTAGCTGTGAGTGGGCAGGGTGGCACCCAGCAGGACCAGGACCAGGTGCACCTCACCCACCAGCACTGTTTTGGGAGATGGGAGGGGATGCAGGCAACCTGCAAACCTGGCTTTGCTTAGTTGAAATACAGTGCTGGCACCTCCAGCCCATGGGCCAGCATGAGGTAATGGCCCCAGCTCCCTTAAAACACCATCCATTTATCTCACTCCGTCTCTGGACCATTGATGGCCATCCCACTCAGATGTCCTTCCCCTGCACATGCACAGGACCTGCGCTGTGTCCCGCTAGAGCCTATGCCTGGTGCCCCATCCCCACTGAGCCCTGGCAACAGCTGGGCTCTGATTCAGAGGGTGCTGATCCGCCAGCTGGACAAAATCCTCTGACAATGTAAGATTGGAGGTGGACATTCACATACTTTGCTTCTGGCGTGAACACTCCCTTGTCTGAAGCCCACAGGCTCAGCAGAATTTTTGCAGGTGTCTGTCTTTACTCTCATCTCCATGTTGTCTCCATCACCCTCCCCACCTCTCTCTACCTTCGCCTCTCTGTCTTTTTATTGACCTCTTCTCCCAGCTCCTCTCACACCTCAGAGTGGTGGTGCACCTCTCTCTCTCTCCCTGTCCCCGGACAGTGGTTGACACCAGCCACAGCCTTAGTGGTACCTTTGAGAACTGGTTGTAGATGACCTTCGTAATGGGGTCTGAGAACTGTGCGTTTCCAGCCAGCACAGAGGTGAGGGTGTTGCTGAGGGTCACCATTCCCAAAATAAGCCTGTAAGGGAACAGAGAGTTTTCCAAAAGGTCGGACCTGAGATAGGGCACGTTTTATGTAGGAGGCGGAACTGCTCCCCTTGAAGTCAGTGACTAAGTTGCTGCTGCCGTCAGTGGGAGGCACCAGCTTTCTCTTCATCTGAGCAGGACAAGAAGATCCTTGTCCTCATCAAGCTGTTGGTGTAACAGTAGTTAAAGTCAGCTATTGGAGTCTAGGACTTAGCAGCTGGGAGAAGGAAAACTTGTGGGTTCTCCTGTTGCTTATTTGCGTGGGTTTCCCACCCAGCCCTCACCTTTCCTCTGGCTTCCCCTTGCCTGTGCACTGATCCAAGCTCTGCTGAGTCTGGTGAGCACTGGATTTGGCTTTGACTTTAGCTCATTTACAGGAAGTTTTCTTGAATCTTCACAAGGAGGCAAATGATATTTTAAAAACAAGCATCACAAAATCCAACACAAGATCACCGGCACTGGACCACTAAATGGGACTTTCTCTTAGGCTTCATCATGACTGCTTTTCCTATATAAATGGCTGTCTCTGTAACAAGTAAAAATAGTTACCCTGACTCGGCAACAACAGGAGCTTGGTCATATCCCTTCTCCTGGAGGATCTCAATTGCCTTTTGACAGCTGACTTCCGGGAGGAGAATGAGAGAGGCTGAGAGATTCAGTTTCTGCACCTTGATGTTCCACCACCTGTTGAAAGACAAATGGCAGCATCAAGCTGTTACTCTCTGCTCCGCGGCTGTGGGCTTTGCTCGGGGAGGCAAGGCGAGTAGAGATGAGACCACCCACACAGAGATATTCTGCCTGCCTGCAAAGCTCACCTCACTCCTATTCTCAAACCAGTAATGCTACAAGTCCAC